AACAGAGACCAACCTGCATCAGTTCAAACATGACTCAAAGTTTGCTCTCAGAAAATCTTTTTTGAACAGCAGTAATAACGACATTCTTGAGGAAAAAGCTACATCAAGTCAACCACAAATGCAGAAAATTTCAGACCTCTAGCTATAACAGTTCCAGAGCTGTGGGGTTTGGAACTTTTGGTGTCAGCTTGGAGCTGCGCGCAATGGCTCCACCTGCTGGAATTTTATGCATTTTGAGTTATTACCCCAACTTAAGGTCCACCGGGTCGCCGGCGACCCAGTGGGTTTTAAGGGGTTAATGGTATATTCAATATTATTGATTATTAAAATCAATATAAACTTTACATCTACGGATTTTATAGTACATTCTTTAATTTCAGGGCACAATAAAGGTATAGTGGAGGATTTTTGCAAATAAAAAAAAAAAAACCTGCCCTCTCCACAAAAAATGCACATGCACAATCCTGTACCCGGTCCCGAGAGGGAACGCCTATTAAAGGTGTATGAGAGCGTGCACGAGCCCATGTCTTCTCGTGCACGCCCTGTTTAAAAGTTGCTGTTTGCATCGTTCATACAAGTTTACTTTCCATAAGATTTGCTACTTTTCCTCTACGTCACACTCACCACCGGTAAGTGAAAATGGCGACGAGCACATAGGATGGCCTTACGTACACAACATATCACCAGAAGGATTGACAGTTAGCAGGACCACTTATTTTGATGATCCACCCGGAAAAAGAAAATCTTCCACTATACCTTTAACATTCATGTTTTTCGTAATATATTTTGGGCCTCCATATATTTCAGTGATTAATTTAAATGACTGTGAAAATCCTCCTATGACCACCTATTTGGTGTCTCGTGACCCCCTGCAGGGGTCCTGACCCCTACATTGGGAACCTCTGCTTTAAGACATTAAGTTGGTGGAGACACAAACACCACATTAAAGACTAAACTCCATTAATATTGTTCAAATTTCCTCTTTTTCAGGTTCCAAGTGTGGAACTCCTACAATCCACAGCTCAGTTGAAGCCACGCCCATCAAGGATGTCTATCTAGTTGGAGACAGAGTGTCGCTGTCCTGTCCCGCAGGGTCGGTGCTGGATGGTCAGGTCTCAGAGATCATGTGCAGTTCCAGTCTGCAGTGGTCTCCGTCTCCTGATCATATTCAGTGTGTAACAGGTAT